CCGGGGTGAGCAGGTGGGGTTCCCAGTGAGCCCTGCAGCCTGGGGTGAGCAGGTGGGGTCCCTAGTGAGCCCTGCAGCCCGGGGTGAGCAGGTGGGGTTCCCAGGGCAGCGCAGCCCCCGCCCACACGGGGCCCCGCCTATGCAGAGCTGCTGGATCCTCTCAACTGCAGCTCACAGGGGCCCAGACCCACAGGCGCTGAGCCCTTCACCTCAGGTCCCTCTTCCCGATCCTCTCCCAGGAACAGACCTTTAGTGCCCCGAGGCAGCTGCACCTCGAGGTGAGCGCTTCCAAGGGCTGAGAGATGGGGTTTTCCTACAGTTGGGGAGCAAACAGTTTGCTGCAACTTCGGCCCAGCTCCTGGGACCCCTCTGCCGGGCCCTTCAGCCATTGAGGTATACTTACTGTTCACAGCCTTAGGGTGCTTGCACTGTCTCAGGATCCCCCACTTGCTGGGAAAACGGGGTTTTTCCACTGCCTCACACCCTCTCCCTGCAGGCGTTAGGAACTAAATGCAACCCCGAAATCCCAGGAGGCTGCCAGTGGGACTGGCCCGGAGGCAGTGTGCGGGAGCAGCGGGAGCTGCTAGCAGTGCTGAGGGCCACCCGGCGGGCAGGTCTGCGCTGGCCCACAGGCTTGCTTGGTAGAAGCGAAGCTGCCCAACCCTAATGCGACGCTGCGATAAAACGCTTCAAGTGGCCCCCTATAGGCTGGCCCTCGGTGGCCCACCCGCTCGCTTCCTAATGCTGACTAGCTGCCTGCCCCTGGCGTCGGGTCTCCTTAGCCACAGCCCCTTTCCACTCACCTCTCTCTGCCAACTTCCAGATCTCGCTCACTTCGACGTCCCCTCCATCCACGTGGAGCTCGGGCCGGCACTCCGCCTGAGTCCCCTGGAGCACAAGCTGCGGCCCTCGGTGACTGAGAAGAGGGACTCGGAGGAGGACTCAGAGAGCACCGCCCTTTGACACGCGTGTACATACGTGGGCCCAGACCAGCATACGGCAGGGCGCCCTGGGCCCAAGTTCCCCGTGGCTCTCGCTGTCACTGCCGCGCACGGCCGGAGCTCTGCAGAGAGCAGTCACCCCTGGCCTGAGTGGCAAACATTGGTGGTGCAGATTTTGTTCGTTCCCCTCGGGTGGTGACGTGGGCCTTTTGTTTGATCTTTGCCTTTGACTTTGTGCCTATTTGACCTACTTTCAGCCTCCATGCCAAGCAGCAGCCCTCTCCACCAAGGGCTCCTGGCAGTCCTCTGCAGGGGGGTGGGGGAGGGCCAGGTGCTGGGTGAGACCTGGGCTGCGCCTGTACTGACAGCACGAGTTCTAGGTGTCAGCTGACGGGTGTCGGCTGGACGGCCACAGAAGGGGACGGAGAGCAAGCCCTTCACTGACAGGGACCAGACCGGATTCTCAAGTCCTGGGCGCTGACTTGCGCTGCACAGGGAGGCTCCCCTCCTTGGTGGGCTCTAAGTAAACGCTGAACACATTTGTTTTACTTCCCAAGTTTTATTTTCCACACCGTGTTACCGAAAGCTCCTGTTTCTACCTTACCGTTTCACACTTCCAAATTTAAAAATGACCTTGATGTCTAGAGGGCCTAAAGACACCTCCCCATTCCCCCCCAAACATCAAATGATCTCACAGCAATTCTACACCTCCAGCTCTCAGGGGCACCAGCTCACAGGTGCGGGGTCGGGACCAGGATCCTCTCTCCTGGAGGGCACTTGTGAATAGCAATAACTGTTACCCAGAGCCGGAGCATAGCGTGAGACCGGCCTGGGAGACACCAGGCCAGCCCCAACCCCCAGCGTCAGGCTCTCCCCTTCTCACGAGACCCCACCCCCTCTCGGGGACAGGCGGGGGCACTGGGAGCCCACACCCTCTGGGACTGAGAGACATCTGGGTCGTGCATGCACAGACACACTTTACAATTTTACCCTTTTAAGGCAGATATGACATACCTATACATGATATATTTGTATATATGAAATTTCTCTATATTTGTTTAATTTGAGCCATTCAATCTAAGCCAGTGTACAGGTGTACGATGCGAAGTTTAAGTGCGTATTCCTTCTCCCAGCACAGTGTAAAATAGCCCTCCTCTGACCGTGGGGTTGGCAGACTTGGGATGCTACCAGCTTTGCTCACTTCCTGGCGAGGGCGGTTCGGTACCCAATTTGCAATGGAGCCCGGGGGCTGAAAGCACCTTTAAATACATGTACAAATAGTTGTCAAAAGTAATCTTATTAAAATAGATTTATTATCCCTGAGCATGGCCTTTCGTTGTTTAAGTTACGAAGCGTGTGGGGACACGGGACTCAATGACAGGTGCTGCCAAGGCCTCCGCCTGCCTCCCTCTCATCACCGCAGTTTTTAAAGCATTTCTGTCTTCTCCTCGGTAGGAGAATATACAAATAAATACTGGACTTAGCTTTAAAAACTCTCTGTCTTCAGGCACTAACCTCAGTGCTGTTCAAGCTCATAAGGGGGCAGGGGAGCCAGCCTGACATGCTACTTCGTAATACTCTGAAGGGCAACGAGGGATTCTCATTCTCACTGCGCCAGGGAAAGTCAACTACCGTCTCGCTGCTCCCAGCACTGCGGGAAGCTGTGTTCCAGAGGCACCACGTGGACCCAGCCGTCCGACTGGTGCATGAAACCAGGCCCCGTTGGCAGCCTGCACAGCTGACTCGGCAGAACCCGGCCACTGTGTGCCTCCCGGGACAGGCGTGGTCCTCCCGCCTCAGAGCTGGCCTCCGGGACATGCTGGGGCCTGCGCAGGTGGCACCGCCTGGGAGGCTCCTGCGGAGGCGGCACCAGGACCAGGCAAAGCACTTGTTCCGCAGGAATCTTTATTGAGTTCTGGGCTCTGGAAACACTACTCCTTAAGCCTTGAGCCTTGGGCACTGAGACGTCACATCCATGACCCCTGTTCCCTGACGGCCTGTCTCTGGTGTGCGGAGGGCACGGCTTGGCGGGAACAGGCCTGGTATGCGTTCTTCTACGTGACTTAAGTCACTGGCACCGAATTCCGTTTTCTTTCCTCGAAGCTTCCTGTCCACGGCTCCGCCAGGCACATTCGTGACACGTCCAGCACGCAGTCCTCACCCGGAGCCCAAGCCAAGGCCCAGCTCCCACCGCCGTTCCTGTGTGCCGCCCGTTCCACAGTGCCCTCGGCGCCCACCAGGCAGAGGGCGCACTCGGGACCCTGCGCGGGGTGGGGCTTGAGCCTTCCAAGTTCAGGGCCGCTCCTGGCCTTCATTCTGCCCTGACCTTCCTCTGTGGACTGGCAGGCCCCTCTGTATGGGCCCGTTTCCGCGAGGGCTCACTGTCCTCAGCTCCGCCCGCCTGCGCCTGGGAGAGCAGGGCGCCCGCACCAGCCGCAGCTCCCTCTTCTCCCGGCGCTCCTCATCTCCTCGAGGTCGTCAGCAAACAGAGCCTTTCAGTGGGGCCATCAGCCTTGGGCACCCGTGGGAGAGGTCTCCCGAGCCCGCACCTGGGAGGGCAGGACGGGGAAAGACATGCCTTCAGTGAGGAAAGGCGCGTGACCATCCAGCAGGCACACATCCCCTCACCAAACCCTGCGGCCACAGACCACAGCTTGGAAAAAGACGGGAAAATGCAGGAGGCGGCAGGAGACTAAAGCAAGGGCAGAGAACGCCCCCACCGCGGGCTGAGGGCGGCCAGGGGAAGGGGGCTTCAGAAGACTAGGCTGGCAGGACTCTTGAAAATCAGGCTCCTTCAGAAAACAAGCCTGGGCCCCTGGCCC